GGAAGGCAAATAAATAGATAAATAAATAAATAAATAAATAAATAAATAAATAAATAAATAATTTTCTCATCTTGTATTCCATGAATTGCAGCATAACATTTATATTCCCAACATGGATATAATGCCCCAAGACAGGAAGACAGTTTGATCTCAGCTTATTCCTCCAAAACACCCAGGCTTTACTTTATTAATATATTATGTATAAAATGTAAAGTCTTTATTAACATCAAATAGATTTAATTGAAATGCTACTAATATTAGTGTGTTTGATTGATGATATTCAGATTACGACTTAGTGATTCTAAAATCATAAACACAATTGAGGCAACACCTCATCTTAGGAATCTTCTTTTTTTTTATTTTGGTTTTTCGAGACAGGGTTTCTCTGTGTAGCTTTGGAGCCTATCCTGGAACTCGCTCTGGAGACCAGGCTGGCCTCGAACTCATAGAGATCCGTCTGCCTCTGTCTCCCCAGTGCTGGGATTAAAGGTGTGTGCCACCAAGGCCCTGCTAGGAATCTTCTTGATATCTCTTTCTGCTTCCTTGTCTACCTGAAGTAAATGAATCTTTCCACTATGCTCTCTGGCCTTGATGTATTGATTGCTACAGGCCCAAAGCAATAGAGCTAAAAAGCATAGGCTACTACCCCTGAAAATAACAACAAACCTCTCATCCTTTAAACTGGTTGTCTCAGGGATTTGTCACCGTAACAAAAAAATGACTGATACTGAGAAGCCGTAGTTGTAACATCTCATCAGTGCAGGCACCTAAATAAAACCTGAGTATGGGCTACAACAACAGGCATGTTAACACAAAGGGAAAAATTTCCTGGGCTTCAACTCAAGCCAAAGAACTGTAGGAAAACTAAAAAAAAAAAAAAAATACTGAGAGAGAGAGAGAGAAATAATCTTCCAGAGGGATGAGCCTCTAAACTGATTATCCAGTGGTCAGCCCTGAAATCAATACATAAATGTAAGATTGTATGGACTGAGTAGGTTATATGTGTATAAGGAGAATATATAGAGTATATATATATATATATAATAATTGAGGAAATAGAGAGGAAGGAGGCACATGGGAATCATTGAAGGCAGGAAATGGATGGGGAAAACATGTAATTATATTTTAATTAAAAATATTTAAAAGTATAAAGTAATTGATACAAATAACATGTGACCTTTGTGCTAAACTATGAAATGCCATGGAAGCAAGATGTTTCAGTGAGCAGAGGCACTTGCTCACAAACCTAATTATCTGA